CCCTGGAACTGGAGTTATAGATGGTTGTTAGCTGCATGTGGTGCTGGGAATTGAACCTGGGTCCTCTGCAAGAGCAGCCAGTGCTCTTAACTGCTGAGCCATCTCTCTAGTCCCAAGGGTATCTTTCTTAACAAGGCAACCAGGAGGCCAAGGCTGTTACAGTCCCTCTTGGGGCTCAATTGTGCTTTGTTATGAGATGAGACCAAGAGGTTCCTAAAGCCTTTCCCAGGGGATGCTGCTTCACGTCAAAGGGAGCTCCTTGGCCCAGCCTCTCAAGTCCCAGGGCACTGGATGTGTGGTAAGAGCACTCTCTGGGTTGGGACAGTCCCTAATGCACACAGCTGGGATGCCCTACAGGCATGTCTTGCCCCACAACAGCCCTGAAAATGACCCATTTCACCTAAGTGAATTCTCCAGATAGCTGAAGCTTGCCTTAAACATCTATAACTTGAAAAGCAAAATGTCTAGCAACAGTTTTCCAAACTTATTTATGATGAGGGTACTTCAAGGGAGAAAAGGAAGCTCAGTCTAGAGTGAATTCACTTGTGACTGTGTGACCCTTATTCCTGGCTTCGGATTCTCATGAATGAGATCTCTCCCTGGGGCACCTGTGCCTACCACTGGGTCACATCTTTGTCTACATCTTTGTCACATCTATGTCTACAACCTTCTATTCAACCTTCTATTCAAACCCTAGCTCCGACCATGTGCAGAACAACCAAGGACTCAGCCTGGCTAGACTCACCCAAGCCCTGCAATTTTTCTTTCTCTCTGCCCTGAGCCCTCCCCTAGAGTAGCCAGATGTTCCTGGTATGGGTCACATCTTTAGTTCTGTCATTATCTTTTCCAGGAACATTTCTGTACATCTTACTACCAGCCAGCCTGGTACCCATCTTTCCTCACTAAGCTCCAGGAAAAATCCCCCTCACCCTCCATGGCCTCTTCTGAAGGCCTCTTCCACCTGGGCTTCTCATATTTGGTAAGGCAAGGGCTTATCTTTCTGGAGGGGGGATACTGATTCATCTCTACTGAGGTGATAAACCTTGTGTGGACAGGTGCTTAGTGTTTATCTGCTCAGACTTGCCTTAGAACCACAGCCTAGAATTCTGTGCCTTTCACAAGATGTTTAAACGTGAATTTTCCTTTATGCTTGGGGTGGTAGGGATCAAACCCAGAGCCTGACACATGTTCATCAAATATTTGGTCACTGAGTGACACTCCCAGCCCAAACATGTATATTATAAAGAATAAATAATTGGGCCATGGATGTCACTTTGGTAGAATGCTTGCCTAGCATATACAAAGGTCCTATGTTTCATCCTTAGCACCACAAACATGCACATACACAAAAAACAAGACTCAACTGTCCTCATTCCCAACTCACAGGAGCATCACCCCAGAAAACATGTTCTTTGTCCCCACAAAGCTGGTTCTTGGTGTACCCTCCTTGCCTAAGCCCCTAGGCCGAGCATACCTCATACCTTAGCACCCTCCTCAATACAGTTTATTGCTTGGGGTTTGGATCTTGGCCTCTGTTGCCCTCAGCAGTTCTGGCTCAGATTCATTCCTGGGGTCTTTGATAATGCCATGGATAGTATACCAGCTGAGCCAGTCAGGAGTCAGCCTTACCTGCCCTGGGCACCCATGGGAAGAAATTCCAACCTGGTTGCAATGGCTGTCTCTACGTACCGTTTCTTCTAACTGGGCAGCTTCTCCATAGATGTTTGTCACAAGAACCATATTGCAGTTTCCCCCTGCATAAAGTGAGACACAGGAGAGCTTCCAATCATGTGAATTTTCTGACAAGAGTCTCCCTTGGGACTGACAGGGTTCTGTTATGGACTCAAGTTTATAGCTCCACAAAACTCATAACCTCCAAAACCTACTTCCAAACACGCAATGTGATGGTATTTGGACTAGGGTCTTTGGGAGGAAATTACATTTAGATGAGGCCATGAGGGTGGAGCCCCTATGCTGGGATTATTGTCCTCCTATGACAAGAGAGAAAGCCATCTCCTTCCATGTGAAGATGCAGCCAGGAAGTGGCCATCTGTAAGCCAGGAAGAGGGCCTCACTAAGAACTGAATCTATCAGCACCTTGATCTTGGAATTTCCAGCCTACAGAACTGTGAGACACTGTCTGCTGTTTAAACCTCCAAGCCTATGATATTTTTTTTCAGCAGCCCAAGCTGACTCAGAGGTAGAGAGGATAACCCAAACCTGTATGAGGCCAGGAGACATGGGAGAGAGAGGTAGGGATAAAGACAGGCTACAAGATGTACCTAAAGGAGTCAGGAGCAAACAGAGACAGCATAGGGGAGGGGGCAAGGTTGGGGGATGGGGGAAGGGTGTGAGCCAGGGCTTTGCTCAAGTCATTACTCAGGTACACAACCAGAAACCTGTGACAAAGCTCTGGGCAGGTGGGGATGACAAAAAAAAAGGGGTCCTTCCCCTGATCTTCAAGGCTGTGTAGAACTCTCCTTAATAGTTTAGGGACAAGGAGAAAAAGAGGTATTCCCAGCAGAGGTAGAAGCTTAAGTAAGTATTATGAAAGGGTGAACAGCAAGAGAGCAAGAGTGCTTATCCACTGTGTCTCACATCACTGTTAAAAGAGCTGCAGGTAAGTCCATACCCCTGGGAAGGAGCGATTCTCTGACAACTAGTGGCAGATGAGCGAGCCAGGCCTGGTCCTCCCCACGACACAGATCCTCCTCCCTGAGCACCAACCACATCCTCACCTAAGGAGTCTTTCAGGGCATGAGTGAGTTTGCACTGCCGGAAAGGTATGTGGTCCCGCTTCTGGTCCCCAAGGGCAATGATGGCCTGCTCCAGGAACGACAGCGACTTGTTGATGTAGGTGGCTTCCTTTAGGACTCGACCCTCAGACTGCAAACAAAAGGTCAATTCTACCCTTGTTTAGTAGGGAAGCTACTCTACCAAGAGCACCTAACTTACTAAGAGCAGCTATCCTACTGAGAGTGGCTGCCCATCCTGGTTTCCATGGTGCTACAAGCTAAAGTGAGGCCAGAGCCTCCTTCCCAGAACCAGGACCTCTCCCTCAGTGTTATGGGAATATGTTTCATCTTAGCCTACTGATAATGCCAATAGTAAAACTCACAGGAACATTCATATGAATGTTCATGTGAATAATACCTCCATGAATGTTCATATGGACATTCACTCAAAGATTCACCCTGACACAAATGCACATGGAATACTTTGCAGATACCTGAGCAGGTAGCCCTGTGAATGCTCACACAAATACAGTAACAAACACACATGCAAATGTTCATCTAAATATTCTTCAGAAAAAGTTGTGTTAATATACTCACAGGAATATATATTTGAAGTTAAATAGTCAAGCAAATGCTGAAGAGAATACTCATATTCATACACAGAGAAACACCATACTAGCAAGGAGCACTGACTGATTACAGGCACCTTGCTAAGAATTCTTAGGCATTGATGTTTAGAAAAACCCCATGGTGTAGAAACTGTTCCCTATAGCATTTACTCTACCTCTGGGAACTCTTCCTTACAGCCCTTGTGTTTCATTTCACCTAGACTTCACTAGACTGTTTTCAAACATCCAGTGAAGAACAGTACATATGTGCAGGCACTATGCCAGGCTCAGGGGCTGGGGCTTGTTGACAAATTACCCGTTCTCCTCACTTACCCCTGTCTTTCCCAGCCTCTCTGAGCCTGCCAGATCCACCAAGTTGATTTTGGAAGTGATGTACTTTTCATCTGATAAGGTCCGGGAATGGGCCTACAAAACATCCAAACAATTTAGATTGTATGGGGAAGTACTGGTGACTGGTCATCCTCAGGCTGAGCAGAGAGTTTGCACCTACCTCCATGTAGATAGTAAAGATGCAGTGTGACCTGGAGGAGTTTTTGTTCAGTGTGTGGGAGGCGATAATCCTGTTGGTCTCTCCCTGAAGGGCAATGGAAATATGTATAACATTTTGAAGACTGAAAATAATAGGGCATCCAAACCATTTTCCAGTCATGTTTTTCCAACAGCTACACAAGTGAACTCTTATCACTGCAATTGGTTGGGTCTTCCAAGGAAACTTATTTTGAAAACTAATAGAAAAGGAAACAAAATAGAGTCTATCTGGTCCTGTACTTTCACAACCTGATATTTGGGGTGCAGTGTACAAACTGGTGTAGCTTTCTGAAAAGCAAGATAATTAGAATCAAGAACTGTAAGATGTTCATGAACATTGAATTAGAATCAACTGCACATCCACCAATCAGACCTCCATCAGCACACAGGAATATTAGGTGTCCAAGAAAATAATGACAAATAGTTTTTGTCTTTGAGACAGGGTTTCACTACGTAGCCCTGACTGGTCTGGAACTTTCTGTGTAGACCAGGCTAGCCTCAAACTCAGGGATCCACCTGCCTCTATACTTCAGGAGTCCTAGGATTATAGGTGTGAACCACTGTGTCCAACTTGATAGTTTTATTTTTGTTGCTTTTTTTGTTTGGTGTTTTGTTTTTGTCTTTTTGAGACAAGGTCTCCCTGTATCCCCAGCTGTCCTGGAACTCACTGTGTAGATCAGGCTGGCCTTGAATTCAGAGATCCACCTGCCTCTGCCTCCCAAGTGCTGGGATTAAGGGCGTGCACCACGGCTCCAACTTGATAGTTTTTTAAATTAAAATTTTAACTTAGCAGATAAAGTGATGGATTTCATTAAGGCATTTTCATATATTACATCATTATGCTCTGTTCTTATTCATTGCTGACAATTAGGTTTCAATAACTGAGAAGTGTAGAATCTAAAAATCATACTATAGTGTAAAAGATGCAAAAAGCATTAGTTGAAATAACAAGCAGAGGCTACCAAGATGGCTGAGTAATGGCGCTTGCCACCATGCCTGACAACTTGAACTTGATCTCTGGGACCCACGTGGTGGAAGGAGAATCAACCCATACAAGTTGTCCTCTGGCCTCTGTACATGTTCCATGATCCTCTTCCCCCAACACAAATTATAATTTTAAAAAAATAAAGAAAAAATAAGGAGAATGCTGCTACCAAGATGTTACTAATGTTGATTCTGAGTTAGAGTCTATAGGACATTTTTCCTCACACAGGCTGCGCTTTCATTTTTTTACAGGGAACACACATTACAGTGGTCTCTATCTTCCATTTTCCATAGTTTCAGTTACTTACAGCCAAGTGGGGTTTGATAATATTAAGTAGAAAAAGTTGCAGAGAGAAACAATTCATAACTTTTAAATAATTTTAAACGGAAGTTTTGTTCCTTTTAAAAAAGATTTTTAGACAATTTTTTGACTTATTTTTATTTTGTTTATGAGTCTTGGCTTGTATGTATGCAAGTGTACCCATGTCACGCAGTGCTCACAGACGATCGATAGAAGAGGGAGTCAGATCCCTTGAAACTGGAGTTACAGGTGATTGTTAGCTGCCATTTGAGTGATGGGAACTGAATCTGAGTCCTCAGCATAAAAAAGCCAGTGCTCTAAACCCACTGAGTCATTTTTCCAGCCCCTATTTTTATAAGATTTTTATTTTTTTTAAGATTATTTATTTTGGGGAGCTGGAGAGATGGCTCAGCAGTTAAGAGCACTGACTGCTCTTGCAGAGGATCCAGATTTGATTCCCAGCCTCCACATGGCAGCTAACAACCATTTGTAACTCCAGTTCCAGGGAATCAAATGTCCTCTTCTGACCTCCGCATGCATTGCATGACACAGGTGCACTTACATGCATGCAGGCAATACATTCATACACATAAAAAATAAAGATTTTCATTTATGAGTGTGTGTCCGCATGAGTTTATGTGTACCACATGTGTGCAGGTGCTTGCAAAGGACAGAAGAGAGCGTTGGATCCCTGGAGCATCACAAGTTGTTTTTAAAGGTTTATTTATTATTTTTAGTTATGTATATGTATGTGTCTGCATATGGGTATGTGCATGTGAGTGCACGTGCCCATGGAGGCCAGATCCCCTTGGGGCTGGGGTTACAGGCAGTTGTGAGTCACCCTATGTGGGTGCTAGGAATCAAACTCAGGTTCTCAGGAAGAGCAATAAGTGCTCTTAACCAATGAGCTAACTCTTCAGCGCTATAATTTATATTTTGAATCAGAATACATTTAAAGGACAATGTGGGAGAAATGGCTATTTCAAGGCTTGGGTGTGGTGGTACAAGTCTGTAGTCCCAGCACTTGGGAAGTAGAGGCAAGATCAGGAGTTCAAAGTCAGCCTTGGCTCCATAACAAGTTTGAGGCCAGGCTGAATTACACAAGACCTCGTTTCAGAAAAAAAACAAAAAAACAAAAAACAAAAACCAAGAAACAAAACAAAATGCTGAGAGGAGCTCCAAGGCAGAGCCTGCCCTGGACAGTGGAGAGAGGGGATCCTCTGCTGAGGAGCAAGCCTGGAGCCCAAAGGCTCTGTCTTTCTAACTCTTACTTCTACCTTTTCTAGGGAATCCAGTGACATTTGCCAAAAGTCTATGCATTTCGCCTTTCTTCAGCCCCCTCTTTTGAAAGTGCCTTCTTCCCTTGACTTTTTGGCTCCTATTCAGCAAGGGGTCAGCAAAAGCATTCATTCAAGTCCTCCGCTAACTGCCCTGCCTTGACCCACATACACTGTGCCTGTTTCTCCTGGAACTGAGCTCACACTGTGATACAGTTGTCATGAGTTTTTCCTATTCCTTTTTCAACCTCATACTGAGCATCTTTAAGCCTCTCATTTGTCGTTTTACCACCACATTGAGCTCAGCAAAGACATAATCCTGGAAGGCAGCAAGATTTGAGGAACTGTTGCTGTTAAGAAAGTGCCTAGTTGGGGCTGGAGAGATGGCTCAGCAGTTAAAAACACTGGTTGTTCTTGCAGAAGACCCCGGTTCAGACCCCAGAACCCACATGGCAGCTAACAACTGTCTGTAACTCCAGTTCTAGGGGATCTGATGCCCTCTTCTGACCTCCGCGGCACTGCACAACATGGGTGCACTTCCATACATGCAGGCAATACACGCATACACATAAAATAATAATAAATAAAATATTTTTTAAAGAAAATAATGTGCCTAGTTTCAGCTGGGTATGGTGGTGCACGCCTTTAGTCCCAGCACACAGGAGGCAAAGGCAGGCAGATCTCTGTGAATTCAAGGCCAGCCTGGTCTACATAGAGTTCCAGGCCAGCTAGACCTACAGAGAGACCCTGTCTCAAAAAGAACAAAAACAAACCGAAAAACTATCAAAAAACAAAACCAAAACCAAAGTGCCTGGTTCAGTAAGTACTATGCAGGCTAATGGTTGGGGGTTGGGGGGAGTCATCAGTGAATACTACAATACTGACCTGCTGGAGTGATGTGTCCAATGGTAAGTAGTGGCATGAAGGTTAGAGACAACCAACCACTTTATGATTGGATTTGAGATCTGCTCTATAGGAGGGGATTCATGCCTAGTACTGTAAAGCTGGATAAAAGCCCATGGCTTAGGAGGTCCTAGGGGGGAACCTACTGTTGTCTTGCTAAACTGCCTACTAAATATTTACATTTATAACCACAATTAATGTTACTCTCAACCTTGGCCAGAGAATCCTTTCTGCAGTGGGCTGCATAGACTCATAGCTGGTTAAAATGCTAAGAATAAGTGACTGTTGAGTACTCAGCCCTAAACTGAGACATTTCTGTCAACTCCTCCCTTCCACAAGGCTCAAAGAACATCAAGGAAGAAGGTGCAAAAAGAATGTAAGAACTAGGGCTAGAGCGATGGTTCAGCAGTTAAGAGCAATGGCTGCTCTTACAGAGGACCTGGATTTGGTTCCCAGCACCCATGTGACAGCTAACTACCATCCTTAGCTCTAGTTCCAGGGGATCTGAAACCCTCTTCTGGCCTCCACAGGCATTGCATGATACAGGTGCACTTATACACATGCAGGCAAAACATTCATAGACCTAAAATTAATTTAAAAAAAATTTTTTTAATGTAAGAGCTGGTGACTGGGTAAGAGTGCTGTGAAATGCTATTTTCTGGACCTGACATGGTCATTGAACTCATTGCACCTATGGTTATCTGCACAAAACCTGCAAAAGATCTAGCCAACAAGATCAGTCAATATTACAGAAGGCAGCACTAATCAGGCTCAGTGATTATGACAGAAAAAGAAAGGAGAGAGAGGGAGAGAGAGAGAGAGGGAGAGAGGGAGAGAGGGAGAGAGGGAGAGCAAGAGAATATGATGGTGAGGGGGTAAGGGGGCATGTTGGGGGGCAGGGCAAAGGGAATGGTAGGGGAGAGTTAGAGGTGGATAGGATCAAAATATATTATATGAAATTGTCAATAAATAAAAGATTCTAAAAAAGAAAGTTAAGCTTAGCTCAATTGTGAATACAAGTGCTAGAGTAATACTCATATGCTCTGTAATCCCAGTACTCAAAAAGCTGAGGCAGGAAGATCACCATGAATTCAAGGCCAGCCTGGGCTACACAGTAAGTTCCAGGGCAGCTACTGAGTGAGACCCTATCTCAAGAAAATTAGAAAAAAACAAAAACAACTGAACACACACACCCAAACCTAAGGCTTCATAGCTCTAAAACCTGGAGTTGAGCCTAGATCCCCTAATTCCAAAACCTGTACTTTTTGTGCTATATTTCAACCCAAAATGGAGGCTTCCATTTTCAGCAATACAATGGGACTTGAATTTTCAGAAAGAGAAACCTTCCTATAGCAAAACACCTGAAGGTGATAGGCAGAATATTTAAATGAATGAATCCTGGAGACTGCAAGAAAATAAAGTATCCAGGGGGCAGCTCCAAGGGGAAACAGGAATCTAGGGACTGTTGGCAAGAACCCAGGCTCCTAATGTCCTGAGGGCATCTGCATACTAATGCTGGAAGTTAGTTGCCCTGGGAAATGAAACGGACAGGTTATAAAGCTGTTGGTGTCCTGCTTCCTC